CCATTCCACTTGGCGATGATGATCCATTCTAGATTTGAAGCTTTCGTGACTGCAAGGATTCATACTCTTAGTTTTTTCGGTAAAGTCACGTAGGTAAAAAATTTAATTAAAATTAATGAAATTAAATAATAAAAATCACGACGTTTCGGAGGCAACACAAGTCTCCGTCATCAGGTGGGACCGTCACAGCCAGATTTGTTGTATCAAGTGATACAGATGATGATCCAATTCCAGGTTTTACAACAACAAAACGATCCAACCTGCGCTAGCGCAAACCTGTGGATGGATGCACGGTGATGGTGATCACATTTCACTGGGCAAATGTCAATTGCGTGGACAAACACACGCCAGCCATAGTTAATCCCATCTTGAACGTGGGCAGTGGTAGCCCAGTGTCACTGTAGCAGAGGGCCCGTCTCAAACTCCCAAGGTGAAGTGTTGGTCAGTTGATGGTTTGAATCGAGTTTTTTTTTTCGCCACCTTTTATTAAATCGAGTTGATGGTCTTAGTCGAGTCACGAATGACTGCACATACAAAACGATCACATTGCAGTAGGCTCTGCACTTACGTTTGCTAAATTCGAGCTCTGAGAATTCAGATATCGGTGCGACAGTCACGCATGAATCTTACAATCAAGTGGAGGAAGGGTCATGACGTGACGTATGTGTGTGTGTGTTAAGCTTCGTTCGCACCGTACGTAGTCAACCCTGCGAACGGGAGGTTGTGGGGCAAGGACAACAAACTTAACACAAAAATATGTTTGATGCCAATAGCAATTAAGAAAAATTGGTGGAGGTCGGCGGAAAATAAATATATATTTTTTAAAAATCCCGCTCGGTGTGCGAGTTCAAATCATCGGGGTGGGGGGGGTTGACAAAACCTATCATCACCCCCCTCCCCCGCAGGGGTGGATAAAATGAGCGGAAATGTTCACCACCGGCTCGGAGGCGCCGGCACGAGATGAGCACCGCCGCGCCACGCTCGCTCGCGTCTCTCTGGGTGGTCACCTCGAGGCCATCGCGATCGCCGCAGCGGGATTCATGCCTAGGGCACGCGCATGAAGATCCGCCCCACGGGATTGACTGAGAGAGATCTTGCCTGCCTCTGACCCCCTTCACCCAGATCCGGCTGTCGTGTCCGATATGACGCGTCCGGCGTGAAGAGTGCAATAGAAAGGAAGCCGATTTTGGTGCCGATTGCGCCGTTTTTTTTGGGGGGGGGAATTTGTTTTGACCAAAAAAAAAAATCTCCCTCTCATCTCGCCCCATACTGAGTACAATATCCACCGTCATGTCTGGCAGTCCCCACTTGAGGTGCCTTTGTCATATCACAATGGCATGCCAGTAATGCATGCTCACGTGGGCTCGAGAATTGCTAAGCCTCAGATAAAGCTGACGTGCAGCACAAAGACTGCATCTCAAATCTCGCCCTCGGTGGCACCAATGAATTACTTCTTGTGAGTGGCACATAATGGCCACCCTGCACTTTCTCTATGTCTCTCTGTCTCTCTCTCCCATCTTACCGGTGTGCGAAGTGAAGACATTATTTTCTCAAGTCGCACATTCTTGCCGGGAAAAAAAAAGCGTCAGCCTGAATGAAGATGCCGCAAATCACGAAAAAAAATGTCTCGTAAATCTTCGCACGGCAATAATAAACCTCAAGAGTGACGGCGTCTTCTCCACTCGAGCCCGGAGAGAGAGAGAGAGAGCGAGACCTTACGATTGCCGAACGCGTGCGCGCGTAATTTTCAAGAAATTAAACAAAACATAAACGCGAGATTTTGCAATTCACATAACGCGAAAAATACGTACTTCGCGTGACTGTCTGAATGTAGCTGTCTGTATTACCGGCTTCTGAAAAAATTCACGGTGTCAATCATCGATTTTGGCACGTGAAAAGATTTCAACGTCGGCCGTGGACAGATCTGAGCTCCGTGCCACTGTCGATGCCTCCGCGTGAAAACTCAGCCTCTCGCAATCATCTCTGCTTTGTTGGGCTCAAGGAGACACGCGCCGAGGTTCTAGCAAGCGACTGCTGCAGGCAAGTGGGGATGCATCCGTTGTATTCATGAAACGCTCCTCTCGTAAGTTTATTAAATTCTCACATCCCCCACCCTCGCTTCTCTCCACCGGCCATAATAGTGGTGCTTGCAGATCCCATTGGGTGGGGGGGTGGGGCCTTAAGCAGAAATTAATTTCGCGCACCTTCCTTTTCTTTTCTTTTAACGCCTAGCGAGATGACAAAAGAGATATTTACAAAAGATAGGGACGTAGTGAGGTGAGAGAAATGCAAAAGAAAGAGGAGCGAGATGAGAGAGGAAAGATATTAACAGGATGGTGATGAGAGAGATTAATAAACGTGTTGTGTACAATTCGAGTTTGACATTTGGCTCACCCATATTTTTTCATGAACCTGTGGCCAATTGGGCTGCTTAGGGTGCTCAGCGACTCGTTTAGTTTGCGTATGCCTCGTGCCGACACTGCAGCCACCAGTATCAAAGGACGTGCCATGGTTTTGTCGATGGGTAGGTCGCTTGCGGTGGTGGTGGTAAACTATGGCTACTCTCACCTCTTCTAAGATGTCAGGCCAACGTGAAAGAGGTGGCCAAAGACCCATGAGTCTTCGCTAGAGATTTCTTGAGCGAAGGCTCTTACGCCAGCAATGGAGTGAGCCGGCAATCAGACTGCATTTTTGGAGAAAAAAAATCTAATATTGCCTTTGCGCAGGGTGTCATTACGTCCACCGACAACAACATAATACGGTGTGCTCATGGGAATCTGGGCTGATGGCAGCGCACAAATATTGGGGCAGATTTTCATCTCGACCTTGATTATTTTTGACAGATTTGTGTTGTTGTTGTTGTTAGCCAAATCGAGCCGAAGACGCGTCTGACACCAACAATGGAGGAAATGCGTAAGGCGTTGTGTTTCGACTGTTATGTCAAGATGGCAATCCGGCTCGACACCATTGTGTTCAACTGAAAGCCTCAGCTGTGATCAGATTTGTACTAATTCTGTGTCGATGTCCCTCTATGTCTGTTTCTCACGTGGCATCCCACGTCTCCATTATCAAAATATATTTGACCTCATTCAACTCTCATGAAGTTCACCTGTCCATTTGCTTACAAATCTGCCCACTTGCCTACCAAATTTCTTGTCTACTCACCCACCTGCCGGCCTACTCAATCCATCCATCGACCCACTCGCCTACCAACCAAACCTACCAGCCCACAGTAGGAGGACTGACTATAATAGCAAGACACAGGCAGTGCTTGAGTGCACCTTTTAATAGGCTTGCTTCCCTATGGATTGTAATATTGTTTGCAAATACACATGCTTTTTTAAAGTACGAATTAGAGTTTATTTTCACAATGTAATCACTATTTATGGGATACAATGAACGTCTGGCCTGTTAGTGGCCCCCGGTTCTCAGATCTCGCTCCGTAATGAGGCGAGGTTAGGGTTACCTGGTGGGGGAATTCATCATTAACTCTCTACACATAACGCATTTGGAGTCAGCGGACGGTCACCGCCGAACTGATTGGCATTTCATCTTTTATTGCCGGTGTCAAAGCGCCCATTATGCCTGCAGATGCTCACCTTACCGCGGCGGAAAAAAAAACAAATTCCAGACGCCCTAAGTGACGGAGTGTGAGCCAAGCCCGTTGATTTGAAATGGACCCCAAAGCCTATGATTTGTTCACTCCACGGCAAAGTAGAGGGGGGGCGGGGGGGTCATAATATTGGCGCGTGCGTTTATTGATGCGACTTTGCCCTCCTCTGTAGAATGCGGCGTTCGCCACGTGGGATGTGCGCACAACGCGCGAGGCCGTTTTGTCAAATTGAATTATACACAGTAATAACACGAGCACAACGACAAGTGCCCACCCCTTCCATGCACTTTGCAAATAAATAAATGCAGCGTCCCTTTGCAATATTTTTCATTTGACAAGAGTTATTTTTTTTTTAAAGAAAAAGCTTCAAGCGAAGTGAGATTTTCGGGTGCTTTTAAAATGTGACGTGAAGCCAATGTTAGTTTAATTTGGTGGCAATGAAAGTGCTTTAATTTTTAATAACATATATTATTATAGATATATTTCCAATGTTATTTTCAAAGAGCACCCATTCACATACGCAACTTTAAACGCATAACACGCTAGCGGGCATAAAGATATAAAGACAAAGATCCCCCGAATAGCCTGAACAGACTGCAGGGGCAAGTGCTGTTAGCGAGCACCTATGAAGGCCGGAATGGTACACGAGGGGGTGGGTGGCCAGCACCACGCCCGACCGCCTTTGTCTCCGCAGTGGCGATGTTTACATATCGCAGCAGGTACTCATTTGAGGCCGAGTCGACCTAGGGGAGGCCCAGAACCGGTTCAGATAATCGTCACCGGTGTTGGCCGTGAACGGGAATCGAACTCGGGTCGTCAGGTTCGTAGCGCAGCGCACTAACTGCTACACTACCGCTCCCCACACACACACGCACCCCACGCACACACACACACCCCACGCACATAGCTAATATTCGTCAACGTAAACCCCCGTTACAATCATCAATGTCGTCTTTCCGACTCAATGTTGTGACATTTTATTTATAATAGCTTCCTGTTTGCATGAATAGATGCACAAACATCATCTTTCACGCTACATTCACTCCTATGTCATGGTGCAGTGGGGGAATGCATTACCATTAATTGCTCTGGTATCTGCGGCAACCACGAGTTACTCGTCAAACCAATTACAAAACAGTCACATAACCACGCACCGTTTTACCGCGGGGGGATATATATATATACATTTGTATTTTAAAGTCGCCATAAACTCCACGCACAATATTACCTCCAGCCACATGGAATCACTTCAAACAAAACGCAATCGCCGCGACAACGATGACACAAAAACGCAGCACGAAAAACGGACGCAACTTAAAATTCACGAAAAGATCAGCGGCAGCAGCAGCAGCAGCGAGAGACAGAGAGACGCGGCCCCGGGACTCACGTGCCCCGCCAGCGTTACCCGTGGCCCGCGCCTCGGCTTCATCGCCCGGCACGAGGACGACGTCTGTGGGGCACTCCAGATGAACCTCGAGCGGAGCTCCCCCCACCCACCACCACCACCCACCCACCACCCACCACCACCACCACCACCCACCACCACCACCGCCCTTTCTCGCCGACCGCTCAGCAACGCCCGCGATGCCGCGTGTGTTCTAGCGCCTCCGTGTCGGTGCATTTGAGCACCGCACCGCCGCACCCCTCCTCCTCCTCCTCAGTTTCCATGGCAGCCGCTCCCTCTCTGTGTGCTCGTTCTCTTGTACATTCCTTCTGCTCGCGATCGCTACAGCTTTCTCGTCCCCCCCCATGCTTTCCTTCCTTCTTTCCCGTGTGTTTGGATTTTGTCGTTGCCAAAGCGATATTCCATAAAAAAAATTTGGTTCAGTTTTTCATTCGAGATTTCCTTCCTGCATCTGGGCTACCATTTGCATTATTGTAATTGTACCTGTGATGTTGTCGATTTTAATCTCTAACCCCTGGTGACTCCCCTGCTCCCTGCTCTGTGCAGTGCTTGCTCGACCCGAGCGCTTTGCTCTTTCCTCGGAGTGCCTTCTGCCCACTTCTCATCTTCATTTTGTGCAAAATGTTTTTGTCTCATAGCGTTGATGTTCCACGCTCCTGATTAACGTTTCTCCGACTGTCACTCTCATTCCCGTCAAGCTCAAACATTTGTTTTCTTACCCTCTCCTTGTCTCTGTGCACCTTCAAAGAGAATCATGTGTCACTTCACACGGCTACCTTTGCACGCTGAGGGTGAATATCGTGGGCATCGCTCCGGCGGACTTTAATCGTAAAAACAATGAGCGCTTTTCACAGCAACAATGCCATCCTGGAGAGGTCATTTCTGAACGTAAAACAATGTTCAAAATATTGTTTGGTTCTTTCGGTAAAGTCACGTAGATATAAATAATAATAAAAACCACGACTTTTCGATTTAAAGCTTTCGTGACTGCAGGGATTCATCTTCTTGGTTCTTTCGGTAAAGTCACGTAGAAGGGAAATAATAAAATAATAAAAATAAACATTATAAAATACAATTCTCACCACGTTTCGGCCACAACGCAAGCAGCCGTCCTCAGGTGAAGAACAGGGCTGTCGGATAGACAGACCTGTTCTTCCCCGAAACGTCGCGAGAAACGTCGTGAGAATTGTATTTTATTATGTTTTATTTGTATTATTTATTATTTCCCTTCTACGTGACTTTACCGAAAGATCCAAGAAGAAAAACCACGACGCTTATTTTTTCTATCTGCGTGACTTTACCGAAATAACCAAATAATATAATTCCTGCAGTCACGAAAGTTTTAAGTCTACATCTTAAAAATGTACAATAATTTGTTGCTTATGTACAATTACATTTGACTCTCTCACTAACAATACATGATTCGAATCGTAGGAAACGAGTGTGTACATTTTATGCGAATTGTGTAAATACAATTTTCATACCGATAAGAATTGCTCAGATTACACGCATCAAGTTGTCCAATTTGAAAATTGGCACGCGTAAAATGATCCATGTATTTAATGATAATGTAACATCTATTCCAAAAAATACAATAACATATTTTATTTTCTACTCCTCGGAAGTGCTGGGGAAGGACAACAAATGTAACACACAAAAAAAATTCTGTCCACGACTTCAATGATCCTCATTCATCTGAGCTCATTGTGACAGAATACGTCAGGATGCAAATAGGGCAGGTACCAATTAAGGTCACGGTAACATCGCACCTCCGATAAGAACGGTTGCCTATGTATGGTGCGAAAGAAGTGTAACATACATGCATACAACATCGCTTTGGTGTAAATAGCAACACCGTCACCGCTACCACCATCACCTTCATTGTCAACACATCCACTACAGATGCAATTCGCACGATATTCATGAGACGTGTAACGCTTTATCAATCCATTGATTCAATTGTATTGTTACACTTGTGCGCATCTAATTGCGTGCGTAATTTGATCATTCGCAATGGATGCAAATCACGTGCGAATTGGATGGAAATGTTCCCTTTAGGCGAAGAGTCCGTGCGAGATAGAACAAAGAAGGCAGAACGTAGGAGATAGACGGAAACATGATAAAAGTTCACGTCCCTTTATCAACTCACTGCTGGATGATAGCCTCCCCACGATGTGTCGGTCTTGGGACTAGATTGACCATACTTCACCACACTGGTCAGCGTGAAGGCCGGGGGGTGGGGGGGGGGGTATTTAGAATTAGTTTATTTCGTTAAAATATCACTCACCACTGCTGTCAGCGGCAGTTGGAAATCGAATCTCAGGTTGGCTAGGGTTATAGCAGAGTGCATTTCTTAAAACCAGCTTGCACTGGCCCCCTAAATTGCCCACGATCTTGTTTACTGCGATCTCTGTGAACAATTTCTGCTCACGTGCTAAGAGGGTCGAGGGGTTCGGAAATCTTAAAGTCAGCCTTTGTCTTCCCTTTGGAACGGAGGCATGGCCGAGGCATAATTCGATGATTGAGGTCTTTAATTTCTGTTTAGGTAAACATCCACTAATTATGTTCCAATTTCTGCTCCCACTGCGTCGTTGATGAAAACCATTCTGGCTGTCAAAAGATTCACAGGTGGAATTACCACAGTTGGACAGAGGCGTGATCTTGGTGAGAAGATATTTTTTTACCTCTTTATTATTTGATGAGATCTGCATCACGTATGAGACCGAATCAAATGTATTCTTGAAATTTAATCTTGACTGACAATAGCGACAATTCATCATGAAAATTGTGGAGGGGGGGGGGGGTGAAATTGCTAGGTGCTCTTCTTGGTTCTTTCGGTAAAGTCACGTAGAATGGAAATAATAAAATAATAAAAATACAACATAATAAAATAATTCTCACGACGTTTCGGCCACAACGCAAGCAGCCGTCCTCAGGTGAAGAACAGAGCTGTCGATAAGACAGCGTCTGCTAGGTGCTCCTTAGCGGCCAGCACTGGCTCTCGGTGGCAGTGTGTGGATGTCAGCGGCTGCTCTACCAGTGCTGGATGAAGTCCGCACACAGGCACGACGAGACAGTGCTGTGGGCTACTGCAGGGCTATGTTACTCCGACGACTTTGCTCCTTGTCTGTATGCATGTTGAACTTATTTCCCCGCCGTACGTAGCCAACACGTGCTGAGCAGCGTGTATGGTCAAACAACCCGCACGCCCTGCGTGGCGTGTTGGATGCCTTCCTCTGTGAGTAGATTGACAAAAGTGCACGCGCACTTGGGCGCATGTGTTTAGGGCTCCTTGAGATGACAGCCACCAGGGCCACGTGGAACAGAGGATGTCAAGCAGCAGCGTAGGGCGATTGACACGGGAACTGGCGCAATTGTCCAAGTCTGCGGCCATCTGGCCTACGGATCTCGGTGCAGCTGCACCTGCCTGCACACTTGCCAGCTATACTACTGGTGCTGAGAGGTCTTCATTTACCCTCAAGCCTGCCTTCAGTTGAATCCACACACGAACCCCACAGATGCCATCTCTTACCTTCACGCATCATGTCCCCTCTGTCTGGACAGTGCCAGATCACCCGTGATTGCTTTTCAGTAATTAGCTCGCTTAATTTTGGCTGCAATTTGTAATTAATTCACCGTGCGCAAACCATTACAAGGTTGGCACGTGGGACCGTCATGCGTGCGTGCAGCGACGGGACTCATTTTCCATCTCTGACCCTGCCTACTTACCCTTGGGTGACACCCACCTCAAACCCATATTTATCCTCTTGTTGCAGCAGTCCTTTCCTGTTCAGCAGTTCTACTGCTGCATCTTTCCATCTGATAACGATTGCTTGTGTTGCGATCGAAACGTCGTGATGGATTATTTATTTTTATACCTATGTGACTTTAGCGAAAGAACCATAGAGTATAACGTCATAACTCTTCTTGGTTCTTTCGGTAAAGTCACGTAGAATGGGGGAAAAATATATATAATAAAATATTATTATTTAATAAAATAATATGATATAATAATATAACGTCATAACTCTTTGCAAACCAGGTGCAATGCACATCCTGGCTCTCCAGGGGTTCGCTCAGGAAAGGCTCGCGCCGTAGTGGTGAGATGTTAACCGCCTCGCCTGGTACGCAGGAGGTCGTGGGCTCAATCCCGACCCTGATGCCTCTACAGTTGGAGTTTGCATGTTCCCTCCTCGTGGTCGCGTGGATTTTTCTCCGGGTCCTCCGGTTTTTCCCTCCACATTTAGAAACATAGGTTTACAGTATTTGTATTTTTATTTTATTTTAATTTTACTTTTATTAATTTACATTTACGTGACTTTACCGAAAAAACCTAAGAATAGTATTTGGCTGCTGTAAATTTCTATATGAAAGGCCACTTCGTTGAGCTATCATTTGTAAAATAAAAAAATGTGTTTAGTTTTATTAGTTTGGAGTAACCTAACGGCGTCTTCCGGAGACCGCTATGCCCTGGGCCAGGGCCAACGACTGATGATGATGGTTTTCACAGCATGAGTATCAATTCATATTTCATGTAGGATATGTATTTAAATAATTTTTGTGATGCAAACAGTCCAATTGATTTCCTAACATATGAACCACTGTAAGTTAACCACTATGCTTGATCATAGTTTCCCATTTTTACTTTTATAGCAAAAAAAAACCACCCCCCAAACATGTAAGCAAATTTCCACTGTGGAAACTTGCTCGTTCGCGCATTAGGTTTTGTGCTCTGTCAGTGGACCAGGGACTAATGGACTAACACTTTGACAATTGACGGCTAAGTGCTTGTGCATGATGAACCAAAGGAAGGCAACAACATCATCATCTGAGAAAGATGGCCCCAATAGACAGCTGTTACAGACACGTGAACTCAAATACAACCCTACGCTAACAATGCATAAATGAGAATCCTTCACTGTGACAAATGTCCAGACAAAGATAATCATGTGGAGAGAGTGATAGAATAATGAAGTCACCTTGAATGAGTTTTTTTGTGCGGAAAATGTGTTGATTTCTTTTGTTACATTTCTTTGGAACGACATTTTTTTGTTGTAAATTCTCATAGCGCGTGATACACGGTACCAAATTGGGGCACTT